ATAAAGAATTCTAACATGTAAAGTACTCAGTTGCAGTTTAAGTTAATAGTACAATTAAACCTAAACCTTATCTTAAAAAATATCCCCAGTACATTTGACTAGGACTATACTTTACTGTAATAGCAATACAAGAAAGTTTCCATTTATCCTCAAGTTCTTACCATACTCTGCTACAATGATTCTATTAAAACTAAATAAAAGTTGATTCATCACTTCACATAATTTTTGCTTAGTCTTTCTTTGTCTAGTTTTGATATTCCAAATATCATACAAGATGAGCTTTCTTATTTGCAAGTGATATGAGAAGCTTTCATCAAGTAAGACAATTTCTTAATCTAAAAGAATGGAGTGTTTGGCCAATGGTACAATCTGAAACATCCTGTTCAGTTTTCTTTTTTCAAAGCTGCTGTACTTTAGCAGTGATGCAAAGATGATAATTATTTAATTTATCATTTGTTATAAGCTTTTTAAGCTGATTTCATTGAGATTCCTTAATCAAAGGTGATCTTTTAGAGCGAAGTTTTGAGCTGGTTGATCTTATATTACTAAATCATTTCAAAGTGTTAAAAATAGTTGACACTTTACAATTGATAGTCTTTGCAATAGTTTGATAACTGTCACTATATTGATGACAGTAAAGTATAGTATCATGTTATTCTTCAGTTAATTCTTGATTTTTTTCCATTATTATTTACTATTTCAACTATTTTCAGAGAAAAGAAGAAAGAGTTTGTTTATTTTTATTTTGAGATAAGTCAAAATAACATGCTTTTATTATAAATTAATATAAACAAACATTATAACTTCTTATAACTGCAGTATTATTTGGTTATATGATATAATAATGTATTTATTTGCATTTAAACTTGGTGTTTAGAAATTTTTAGCAGGAGTCTGTAAAAATAAGAAGAGAGAGAGGTTTCTATACAGCCATCTGTCTATCTTTTTTAACTTACAAAAGACTTGTATTTATATCTATTCTATTACATATATTGACATATCTAATATATTAACCATATTAACTATATTAGATATATTTGATAAATTAGATATATAACTATATTAAACATGTTAAACATATTTAATATATTTAACATTTTTAACATTCTGTATTTCACCACACATTCACAGATCTGTAATTATCAAGATTAATACTTGATCACAATAGTTAGTATTGCTTATCAAATAATTTTACTAGTTATTAGTAATAAATATTGTTAATATCAATTTTAAATTTAAAAATTTAAAGAACTTGTACTTTTTATTAACACGATTGAAGTAATATTAACATAAGTTTGATACTTATTTATACTAATAAAATATTAACTAACTCTATTTTTACATAATTATTATTTAATAAAAATATCATTAATTATATAAATAAAATTGAAGGTTAATATTAAATGAATAAAGTAATTTATAAATATTATTGAAGTTTAAATCAATTAAAAAGATAAATATGTTTAAATAATTGATATAAAGTAAATAAAATAATCTATAAACATCTTTGATGTTTATTTTTTAGTTAATATAATACTCATTATTTAAATAATTTTAATCAAAAAAATGTTATTATAATCATTTATTATTATTAAGAATTTTCTAACTATTCAATTTAATATTCAATAAGAATATTTAACTTATCCTTTTAAAACTTTATATTTTCTTATTATTTGACAATAAATAATCAATGACAATCAAAATTTTTAATTATTTAATTTATTATATAGTAGAAATTTCAAGTTTTTATAGTTATATGAAAAATTTGCTAAAAAAATCAGGCTTTAAGAATTTTATTTGACTAAAATTAAAATCTTATTATAATAAATAATATCAAAAACTAAAATTCAAAATTTTATTAAAAAAACTTTATATTAGAGATGAAAATTGCTTAAATTAAAAAAGTAATAGTAATATACTGTATATATTTTTATTTTATTGCAAAAAAATTCTATTATACTAATTTATTATAAAAAAATTATAATGTATTATTATTATTACTAAGAAAAATTAGTATTAATTATTTACTATACTTATTAGATTAGAAAAATTATATAATATATAGATATACTAATAGTAATTAACTAGATTAAATTGTTTATAATAATACAAATTAAATCTGCTAATCTAAAAATCTAATTATAAAAATTTTGAAGTAAATCAGATATAAATTTATCATATGTCATGCAATTTAAAAATTATATAGAAAGAAATCTAAATATAATAATAATTATACATAGATTATTTTATTATATTATATAGATTTTATTAATATTTAAAATTAGAATAATTTATTATTAATTAGAAATATTCATTTTACTCAAAATCAATTTTTTTTGTTCTGTAAGATAATGATTTTAATAATTTAATTCTATATATATTATTAATAATTTTAATATTTTTATTTTTCTTATTTAAATTATTTAATTATTAGTTTTAATAATTATAAAGTATAAATATTTGATGAATTTAATATATAAAATTTAAGCTATTAAAATCATTTTACAAGATAAAAAATTGATTTTAAGTAAATAATAATCAAAAAAATGCTAAATATTTTTAACTAATAATAAATTATTTAATATTAATATTAAATCAAATTAATTAATAAGATAATACTAAAATTTATTATTTAAAATATTTAAATTTTACTGTTAAATTATTATATTGTAATATTTAAAATTATTTGCTATTTTAAAATATAAATTCTTTTTATTTAAATTATTCTAATAATTTGTTAAATATTATCTTATAATGTGATCATGTGATTTATATTATAGTGATTATTAAAATTATCGATTAATATAATAAACTTTTTTCTGAATTCTAATATTTTACCTTATGTTCTTTTTTATTATTATTTTTCTACAAAAATTTCACTTTTTCATATTTTTTTTATTATTACTTTGTTAAAAAGAAAATAATTTATTTGTAATACTTATCAAAATTTCAATAATATTGAAATAAAACTATTTTTTATTTAACCTTTTGTCAATAAATTTTTATTGATAAAGTTAATTTTATACTTACTTTACATTTTTTTTGCATTTAATATTTAGATTTTTAGACTTTAATATAAAAGAATAAATGAAAAAATTTCAAGATACATTTTTCTAACAAATATTTATTTTTTCTCCTCTTTTTCATAATGGAATATTAAAAAAAAACTCTTATTATACCTAGTATTACTTATAAGATAGTATCTAATTTATGTATTGAAATGTAGTTTGATGATTTGAATCATATATATTTAGTTTTACTAGTTTATGAATATCAGATTAGCTTTATATAATAAATATAGGATAAATATCTTAATAAAGATAAAGTCGTATATAACTATTCTTTTATTACTCAATATTTATACTATATTTTTAATATTATTTTAAATATTAAAAATATATTATGTGATCACTTGGATTCTAATACATTAAATTGCAATCAGCATTTTTTTATATTGTAATACTTTATTTGAAGTATTATATACAAAGTTTTCAAGTTAATCATTATATTTGAGAATTACTTTATATTTAATTAAGCATCAATGGCTATATATTTTATATTTTAGATAAGAATTGATTTAGGATTAAGGTGATTAATGTTAGAGATAGTTAGGGATAGATATACAATCATTTCTTATTTAAGATTTAATGTAATATGTTATTAATTTAATGATATTGAATCTATTGACAAGAAATTTAAAAGCTAATCCTATTAAAGATTAAATTTAAGTTTAAAAAATAGTTTAAAGGATCTCAAAAAGGATGAATATACATATCAGAATAGTCTTAAAGATGAACATAATATAAGAAAATATATTGCATAAAGTAAAAATTGTAAAGTGAATGCATATATTTAGAATTTTTATGCTAGATTTATTGTATTATATAATTGTTTAGATTTTAATTGCATTTGTAAAACTTATAATTTATATATATCTTTAATATTACTAATAAAATAATAAATTACTTACATGATCTATATACTACACCGTAATAGAGATAGGAATGATTGTTAAATAATTTTCTTTATTAATAAATTATTTTTAAAATTTAAATATGATATTTTTATTATTAAAATTATTAAAAAATAAATAAAATATATATTTTTTAAAAATCCTTTTATAAGAAAAATTCTTTTTAAAATTTTTTAATCTGAAGATTTTTTATTAAAATCTTTTTTTTTGATGAAAGGCTTAATAAGTCATAATGTTTAATTCTAAAAAAAAAAGAAATTTATAGAATGAAAGACTAAAACTATATTATATTGGGTAAATCAAATTTGATAGGTTAGTTCTAAGCCTCGAAATCACTCTATAATAAAAACATTTTTAAAAGCGAATTATAAAAGTTATTATATATTCCTTCATTTAAAAATTTAATATTTGCTTGAAATTTGATTTTTTAATAAGAATTAAGCTGGTATGTTTAGAAGTTAAATTTGATTTACACATGAATTCATAAAAAATTTTTTACTATTGCTATATTAGGATAACAATAGTGATATTTGTAATAAATTTTAATAATTTCATCACAAATTTAATTTTTCTCACTATTAGCTAAGCTTCTAAAATTTGACTTTTATCTATTTTAGTTCTTTGAAAATATGGTAAAAGTAAGAATTTATAAAAAGAAATTTTCCTAAAAATGTTAACAAAATTATTTCTACAAAAAATAATTTAGAAGGACATTTAAATTTGTCAAAATTTCTAATTTAACTAAAGTAAAAATTCATTTAACCTTAATTAACAAGCTTAAACTTTTTTACTTGAACTGAATTACTTTTATAAGCATCTTTAAAATCGGCATTAATAATTTTTCTTTTTTAGCTGATATGCCTAACTTACAGACAATATGTTTATCTCGAACAGAAGATAAAATTAATGATGGACCTGGCAATCATTATATTGCCAAAGCTCTTCAAAAAAGTTATTAAGAGAATAATAGATTATTAAAACAATCAATCAAATCAGTATATTTAAATGCAATTAGAGCAAGAAAGGAAAATAAATGATGATAATTCCCAAAGAATTAAAGAATTAAAGCAACAGGAAGCTATTATTCAACAAGAAATTTAATCTTTACAAAGGCATATAAACTAACTTAAACAATAAATCCTGAACTTAATCAAATTATCTAATATAGCCTTTTCAAATAGTTCGTATCATTTTACTAAAATCAAATAAGAAATTATCTGACTTAAAATCAATGAATTAGTACCGCAAGTAAGAAATGAAAATATGAAGCTGATTCAGTTAATTACAAAAGCAAAAAGAAAAGCGAGCACGTTTTTATTTATAGTTAACTTAATCTTAGAAACCCATAAATAAATCGTATAGAATAGCGAAACTTCCCAGTAAGATAAATTTAGTGGTAAAATGGAAGCTTATTAGACTATATTTGTAAGCAATTTAGCCAAAAAAGAGCTTCAAATATTATTAAACAAACTAACAGAAGTCCTAGAATTAGATAAGCTTTTAGAACATTTATAACAAAAATCTGATCAGGCAGCTAATTCAGTTTTATAACCTTTTTTGCAAATGGTTTCCACTTCGAATGAATTAACTTTTATTATTTTCTCGTTCAATAAATTTAAAATGAATCTTTGGATAAATTATTTTTTTCTAAAAAACAAAAAATTTAAAACCTTTCTCTTTAATCTGTTCTCGAATTTTTAAATTATAGATAAACTTTATAGTTAGCAAAATTTTTATTATTTCAGTAATCATGACGCAAAAATAATGATTTTGTGATTTTGTGAATTTGGTCTAATTGAAAAACATTGTAAAAATTACATAAAAAAAATGAAAAAGAAAAATCAATGAATGAAAATAAATTAGATATTGAATTCAAAGGATTCTTATTTGCAGAATAGTATTTTAAATACAATAAAATCACTTCATGAAGATAATGAGAATCAAAGGTTTGATTATATTAATATATAACTGTATACTTTGACTTATTCATTGGTTTAATGAAATGAAATTATATATTTTAAAATAAATGAAAAATAATAATAATAATTATAGCAATCCATTATCGAATAACAGTAACACTTTAATTTAGAATTTAGCAATCATCTAATAACTTATTTACAAAAAAAATTATTTAATGTATTCTCTTTCTACAAAATATCACTTTAGAGCTTGATCCTTTGCAATAAAAGGAAATTTTCATGAAAAATCAATTTACAATCATTTTTTCAGTTTTATAAGAAATCAATAATGTGAATGGTATATCAACTGCAAAAATATCAATGTGTGCTAGGTTAAACTTATAATTCTTCACTTTACATTAATTTATCCTGCATATATATATTTATTATATTAGTTATAATTATTTTATTCTCTATATTTATTATATAATTTTCTTGAAAAAATTAGATTATTTTGTAAAAAATATTTAAAATTTCAATTTGATAAAAAAGGTGAAAATTGCAATAAACCACTAATGTAAAATTTTTTTACAATTTAAATAAGATAAAATTTTAAAATTTGCTAATTTAATCATTTTAAATAAAGGTAATTTAAGAAAAAAAACTAATAAACAGTTATAATTTATGATAATATATTTGGAATATCCCAATAGTGCATTCCCAACTTGATATATTTAAAAATCATTCGAGATATTAATGTATTTGATTATAATAATTCCAAAATTTTTGTTTGAGATTTAAGTCAGAATAAATTATTCTAGTTGAGAGAAAAAATTACTTCTATTTATAAGCTTCACCAATACATTTTCAAATAATTTTATTAAAATTCAATTATTTCTTAATTTAATAGTTTTCAGAAATTTTACTCCTTTTCTTAGAGCATTAGATTATTATATACAGTTGTTCACCTTTATAGTCATACTCCTTAGAACTAAAAATAAAAAATGTGATTATAATAAAAAGTGACTTTATAGGAGGATTTTTATATATTATTACTAAGTATTAGTTTTAAAAGAATATATTAAATCACTGTGATTATAAAGGGATTTTTTTATATAGTATTAATAGGTATTAGTTCTTACAAAATATATACTTATAATAAGGAATTTATATAATATAATTGTACAGAAAATAACTATAGAAAGGATGACTATAATTGCATTTTGATAGAATTTAATAGATATTTATTTTATAGAGGGTATTCAAAAGTTCTGAATGATTTTTCACTTAATATAAAATGGAAAATTTTAATGCATAAATTTTTAAAGCTTAATTAATATTTTATTTAAAGTATAATAAACTCTATATTTCATATTAAACAACTATTACTTATTATACTTTCTTCTGCTAAAATTATTGTTTGTATTCATTCTAGTATGCTATTAACTAAATTTTTAATTAAATGTTTTGGAAAACCCTTCCATTCTTTTTGAACACATTTTTTAAGTTCAGCAAGATTATTTGACTTTTTCTTTTATTTGTAAATATTTTTTTAACTTTAATCACAAATTTTTAATCAGATTAAGGTCTAGCTTTAGGCAGATTTGGAAAAAATATGCAAATCTTTTTTATATGAAATGCTGCTACAATTTTTGATCTGTAGAGAATAGTATTATTTTTCTAAAATAATATGTTACTATTTAAAAACATATGTTGCATCATAGATATAACATATTTGTGAATTATTTTAATATATATAGCTTCAGTTGCTGATCCTTATAGCAATATAATTAGTTTAATTTCTTATTAAAAAAAGCAACCCTAATGTATGCAGCTGAGGCTATGCTTAATTGTGGCTGAAATACAAGAGTGTAATCATTTTTCAGCTAGTTTTATCTATACACTACTAGTGTGACCTTGTTGAAATTAGGTAAAAGTTAATTTATCACTTTACAAACCTTTGCTCAATTATTTTTAGTCTAATTTTCATATTTCAAATATTATATAAGTCATGTTGATTTTTTGTAAGTAAAATAAGAGGCTTATATTATATAATATAATTTCTTAATTTAAGTAAATAAAGTGTACAATAGGTGATATTTACAGAAATATTCTGTCCTTTTTTTTAAAGTTCTTTTACTCTTGTAGTATATAGTTATCAGTTTTGTATTTTTTTATTTGTTATAAAATATTTAAGCCTTTTATGCTGATAATTATTAATTAAATATGATCATCTAGATTAACACTTAAAATCTATAGAACCAGTTTTATCATATTATTTTAATGTATCAAAACTGTTATTTTTTCATATCTAACAGTTTCAGCAATTTTTTGATATAAATCTCTATATTAATAATAATAAAATATCATCTTATATTATTCTGTAATTAATTCATTTTTTTTTCACATTTTTTTTGTAAAGCATGATGAATAAATAAATCAAATAATTTATGATGTTATATACAAATATAATATTTATATATAAACAAACTAAGTGTTAATCACTCTTTTTATAATTATTGATTACTAAATAAGTTGTTTAAAAACTTTTGGATATTCTCTGTAATTAGATCTAAATAAAATTATATTATTATTTAAAGGATCTTATTCTCTATTAAAATAGTATCTTTAAGTTTAATTTGATTTTAAAGAATTTTAATTTTAAAATTTCAAATATAAAATTTTATATAAACTAAAAGTGCAAGTTAAAAAAAAACATTTATTATAAGAAATATTAATTTCTGCTTAAAAAATTGTATTAATATAAATATCATTTTCTTTAATCAAAACTGAAATAAATTCTTTGAATAACCACTTTATAAAATTCTTCAAATTTATGAATTATTAAAAATATATTTACATAAAATTCTTAATTTATTTAATATAGTCAACTCTTGATATAGCGAACTCTTGATATAATGAATTTTTTAAACAAATATAATAAAAATACTCTTGTTATAGTGAATTGGCCAATCAAATCTCTTAAATCTTCACTATAGCCTTATAGTAAAGTTGAGGTCTAGAACATAAAGTTCATTATAATAAGAGTTGACTGTATAACTTTCTTTAAAATAATACCTATTTTATATTTAAATAATATTGGTAAAGTAAATAGAATCGATTATAAAAAACTAATATTTAAAGAAGCATTAGGTATAATCAAGCTAAAAAAATATTTAAATATAAATTAAATGATAAATTAATTAAAGTTATAAAAAAATCCATATTTATTTCCTAAATTATTTAAAAAAATTATTAATATAAAAGAGATAAAAAAGATTTTTAAAAATTTATCTAGATTTTTTTAAGTTTTATATATAGTACAACTATTATTCATTTACCTGTAAGTACTAATAAAATAAAATTCTTAAGAGAAATTCACAACTTTTTAATTGAAAATAAAAAAAAATTTGCCTTTCTTTAACTAAATTTCATATTGCAAAACATTTAATAATAATAATAAGATTAAACTAAAATTGAAATATTATAGAGTTAGATCTTTACATATGTTAATATCAAAAAGTTAAAAAAAATATAATTATAAGTGATTAGAATATTATTATTATTTAGCTTAAAAGTATATATCATATTATACTTATAAAAGATAATTATATATAGTTATTTTAAAATGAAGTTAATATGATTATATACTAAAATGTCTAATAGAATCTATATGTAAAAATCTGAAATACTATGTAAAATTTGTTAAAGTTAACTATCCATATTGTGATATAGATATTTTTGTAAATGATTCTACTATAGTTTTTCTTAAAATAATATTAAAGTAATAATATATAAATTTAATAATAAATATTAACTAAATATAAATAAAATTGTTAAGATTTTTTATTTATGAAAAGAGGTTTTGAGATACTTCAAGAAGGTAAATATGTTGCTTTTATAATAACGTTATATAAAAAAGCTTAAACTTTAGTAAACTAAGCTTTTACATTATAAAACTAATAGTTTACCTATTTTATTATGAGTTTATTTTAACTAAATAAACAGAATGTAATAATAAAAAATTTTTACTAATATTAATGCTATTTGAAATTCTCTTGATTACATGATTTATAAAGTATCATAGAAGATGGTATCTCTTTTAAATCTTTAATTATTTTGATACTATTATAGAAATTAACAATATTAAAATAGAAGTATATATTGAAGTTTTTATATAGATGCTTTATTGAATTTAGGATT